ACTTCCTCTGTTTCGGACTGGCACAGGTGGGCAACCTGCTCAATACTCTCAACACCCTGTTTGAGAAAAGAAAAATCTGCAACAGCAGCTTTTCAGCAAGCATCTTGATGAACATTTTTTGCAGGGTAAACGCATGCGTACGAACTCCCGCCTCTTCTGGCATCTGAATTCTACCGTGACCTTTCCTTTCTCCCCCACCACAGCAGCTTGCAGTTAATTTTTCTGAGCGTGATCTCACCTCTGCTACTTTCTCTCCTGTTTTAGGACATGAAAAAGGGTAAAAGTTCTAGGGCACAGCTCACTGCTGCAGCACCATTAAATTGGCGTAAAGCAATCAGGACCTTCACGGAAAGAGCTAATGCAGGTGGGGCAAGGGCAAGAGGTGCTTTGTGAATCTGACTTTGAGAATAAGACTCTGATTTGTTGGGCTATCTTCTGCTTCCATGTTTGTAGAGGGGATTATTGCGAGTACAGTTTCTGTGCAAACTAACTTATTACAGACTTGTGGCTGCTGGAAAGCTTTAAATCTGTTCTGACAGTTTCTTATAATTGCAATGCAGATATTACTTTTATTTTCTGACTATAATCAGCTATTGTTAAAAAACAAGATGAACGGATTTAACTTGAAGCTTCTATAGGTGAAGCCTTAGAGCTGACTCCATACGCAGCTGACTGTTGCTCATTTTTCTACATGCCAGACGTCCCCCGGTCAGACAGTGTCTGTCCTCCTTCGCCACTGACAATATTGTACAAGTTAGAAAACATCCTTTCGGCCACTGTCCTGTGGCCCTCCGATCAACCTGAGACCCTCCAAGATGCCCGCAGCTCCCTCTGCCTCCTGCCTTCTGAATAACAGCATTAATAGCTTGGAACTTTGGCAGCCAAAGAATTAATTAATTCCAAATAGAAGGAAGCTGAAAAAGTAACCCTACCAGCTTAAAAAAAAAAAAAGCTAGATACACTTTTGCTTCTAGCAATTTTGGCCAGACATGCACAGCAAAAGTAGAGCTGTAAATACTTACTCTGAGGTTTTTAAGAGCCAAACATGCAGCTTGCTGAAGTCTTGCATCACAGTCAGCTAAAACATCAGTGTAAAAGAAGACAGCCTGAATGAAAAAAGAGGGGGAAAAAAAAAAAGGCTTCATAAACTTAAGCGTAATCAAGCACTCAAATTCAGACTGATATAAGCACTTTTTTACCTATCTGAAATTGAATAAAGTGTGTAGACAAATCACTTGAGCACTGATGTAATTTAGGTTCTAGTGAACAGATTAATGAAGCGCGGAGAGGACAACAGTGCTATTCTAGGATAAAACAAGTCCCATGTATTTCAGCATCTATTTAGAAAAGCCGGTAAGAACTGCGGTCTTTACCCTTTCCCTGAAGTTCTTGCTTGCTGCTGCACGGGAGAGGCAGGATGTGGCCGCTTTGCTGACGCGGTGGTTGTCGTCTAGCTGTAAAATCCCAAGTAGCCGTAAAGTCTGTGGTAGAGGTTGGAGTTTGTTCAGTCGCTTTCCTCGCAATTTTTTAAGGGTCTTCAGCCGCCCAGGGCATTGCAGCTCCTCAGTCAGCATCACTGCAAGTGAAAGGGCTCAACTTCACTAACTGACAAAGGAAGACGTTATCAAGAGAAGACAAGCTCCTCTCTAATTCAGTCTCCTTTCCCCACAAGTAGTTATTCGCATGGCTACAAGCAAGCGTGGCAGGAAGCAAATCAGGACAACTGCCCCTTTGACCATCCTGTCTTCTTTCCCTGTCATTGTTTCATTTCCTCCTATGCCAAGGCTGTCTGAAGAACGGAGCAGAGATGGTTGTTGCACAACGGTAGTTCACAGGGTGCAGCAAAGCCCTGGCCCTTTTAGGACCCGGGTCCACGGAGTACAACGCAGAGTGCAAAAGAACTCCTACACCTGTGGACATTAGGACAAGCGGTCTCGTCCCATAATAAGGAAGACCCGATCAAGCAAAATACTTTTCAACATCCCTGAAAGATCTTGCTGTACTGGTCAAAGAGAAAACCCTCTGTCTTTCGAAAAATAAGAGATCAGGCACTGGATTGACAGTTTCAATTTGAAGAATGTTCCAGGTCTTTTTCACTGGCTAGCAATGCCCAAGTTCCTGGTCCCCCACCAGATGAGTCATCTGCATCAAAACAAGACTAAAGATGCAGCCAATATCAGGAGTATTTTTAAAATAATTCTTTTCTGATACAGACTAAGTTTTAAAGTACTTTCATATGTTGGACTAGGCTTCAGCAAGACACTGGCTACCTCGTGCTAGAAAATGCACGTTAGTAACCTCTGAAATTTTATTGTTATTATCTGTCTCTGATTACAGCTGCTACAGTCACACAAAGCTACAGACGTTTACTCAGTCCTTGAATCCAGCTGTAGATTGCTGCCAGCTTTGTTTCTGCTTTAACTTCAGAACACCACAGAACCCACTCCTTAGGGCACTTATTTAAGACAAACCCCTCCTTCACACCTCTGTTTTGTTTCTACCCGGTTAGATATGGGAGTCAAGCGTGTCTCTCCTGTTCTAATTAAAACTACATGGTCGTAAGGGGTATTAAAATGGAAAGAAATTGTCAGTGCAATGGTTGGGCTGTTTTCTGCCCTGGAAGCGTATCTCGAGTAGTAACTTGGAGAGCAACAGCCAGCTGCTGGGCCGGTGAGTTCAAGCGAAGGAGCCAAGCATGGCCATTACCTTCTTTAGCAAGCTTTCCCAGGTGTTTCTCCAGGCTGGTAATGTGGTGTTTCTCCAGGTAGCCATAAAATTGGAATAAAGTAACTGGTTCTGTTTGGAGGTACAGAGAGGGGAGCAACCCGTCACAGGTGATGATCTGCTCTAGCAACCTCTGCAATACTGAAAGTAACACAGAAAAGAACAAATGGGAAAATGAAAGGTTGGTTAGACGGAAGCTGCTTAAAACAAGTAAGAGTTTTAGTTTAATTTTTAAAATGCACAAGGACAATTTTAAGCTGTGCAATAAAATGAAAACAGAGTGGCCTTGTGTTCAAGAAACAGACTGGTACCTGCTTCTAATTGACCGGGGTATTTTTCCTTCACTTTGAGCATCGATGTGTATTTTAGTGCATGACGGAATCTTTCTGCTGAAGCAAACAAGAAGCTGCCAGGCTCTGCAAGATCACTCCAGATTTTCAGATAGTGCTTCTTCTTTTTAGCCTTTTGAATAACTGGGGAGGGGGAGAAAAAAAAAAAAAAAATCTCATTTTAAAAAGTGAGTGAGCTCTAGCGGATTTTGGATTTTACATGACCAATTAGGCAGCAGATGGCATATCTGGAGACATGTCAGCATAACTTTTATTTGCATTATATAGATGGCTTTGTTCAAAGCTGGAGACTTGCTGCCAGTATTTTAACATCTGCAAGCATTGATTTCACCAAGCTTGGGTTGAGCTCCTAAACCGTCATTATGAGACCTGAATGAGATGCCTAGCAGCTCTCCTGCCTCTCATTATTCATTTTATCCCAGCATCTGAGCCAAGTTTCAGAAGAACTTTCTGTGAGTTTAACTGTTTGCACCTCTACCAGCAAGAGATGTGCTGTTTCCAAGCATTTTAGAGATCCTGTCATACAGACCTTCACAAGTAGAGACCTCTGAACCTCCGTGCATAGGCTGAGGCAGGCTTGCTTTCATCAAACACTTCAGAAGAGCACTTGAAGCAATACCTTGTGGTTTCTCGCTATCATTTAAACCCTATAATTTCTCACTCTTACTACAGAGATGTTGAACTTGTGTTCTGCCTTTGAGACTCCTACACTTCCCTCGTCATGTTGTGCCAAAGGCCCTTCGGGAGCCTTGCTCTAGGGAACGGTTTATTCTCACATCCTTCAGGATAAAATCTGTCAGCACGTGCTTTCAACTAAAATTTGCATTCTTGCCACTATATTTACCACAATGAGAACAAAAGCCTTCAAAGTCTCCTGTTGTGCCTTTATCATTTTGTCATATCCAACAGTCAATGGAAGAATTTAGTAGGGGGAAGGCCTGCGATAGGAAAAATTGCACACCAAACTTTTCTTGCAAATGTGTACGGAAGTTGGGTTCTTTGCTTACTAAGTAAAAACAGAAATATAAAATAGGATTTTATTAAGGCTGCTCTGCTGTTCTTTGACTGCAGACTCCATCATCTTTAACATCCTAGGTATGTTTCTATGACATACCAGTTCAGCTACTATTTCTTTGAGCCAAACGTCTTCAAATCTTTTCTTTCCTTTCAGAGGAAAAAACCAAACAAACGATGAGCCCTGTTTTTTCTAAGAATCTAGATATAAGAGCTGATTTAATTATGTGAACGTGAGGAATTTAGAATGAAACCCTGATGCGTCTGGGGAAGCTCAAGCAGAGTTACCTGTACCTCTCACATCTCTGGCATGCCTTGGAATAATGCAGTTACTCACTTTCTTCAACAGACATGTCCAAGACATCCCGCAGGACTTCTGTCTGCTCTGATACTTTTTCCAAAATGCTCTCCTGGACAACCCGGGCTACATTTGGTGACCTCAGTTTCTGAAATGCAACGTGCTTATCTTAGTAGCTGAAACAAAAGCAGTATCAAGCTCAAGATGAATGAGGATTTGTTTCTTAGAATCAAACTTCTAAAATCTGTGAGAAAACACCAGCTGCTCTCAAAGGGCCTCTTTATCCATCACAGCATGGACAGGTCACTTCTGACCTGAGCAAAGCTGCTCAGCAGAACAGGAGGAGTAAATCACATTATGCTGGAACAGGCCGTCCGGCATCTGACATCCTTCTCTGCCCCTGTCCATTGACAACTGCGTAGCAGATCAATACGAACAGTTACGCTGTCCTCCGCTGCCCATCCTCATCAGAGCTAATACTTTGAGGATGATAATGTGCTTGAGCACTGTAACCGAAATTATTTGAGGAATGAGGTCTCAAGGGGAGATAAGAGTTCTTTCTTGCCCTACATGCTAGCAGTTTCTTTCCAGTAGTAGCAGTTTTTCATTCATTAAAAAAACTGGTCACCTGTTATCGATACGCAATTCAACCCAAATCTGTCCTACTGCATTAGCAGCCTGCCTTGGGCACAAAGGTATTACTCAGAGCTTCAGCAAAACCCAGAGGCTAAAAAAAAGCAGCAGAGGTTTGTGTGACATGTTCTGTGCTTTACACATGTATACACTGCATTTTTTGGACTCAATTTCTATTCTGAGTCTTCCTGCTTTTATAAAAGAACCAGCTACATATTCACTTTTGTCTGTAATCAGAATCAACAATTACAACCAGTGCCCTGGAAAACCATAGGCTGCTCCTTACCTGCAAAAGACCTTTGCACAGCTTCAGATGAGTTATCAAAAGCGTGTCTAAGTTGTCATCACCAGTAGTTACATCTCTTGTTTCTGTTCTCATGTCACAGCTGAGGGACCGAAGCGTGTTGTCATTGTATGTGCTGTTGAGATGGGGGGGAAGCGTTAAAAGTATCATCACCAAATAAACATGAAGAAGTGCAGTCTCAATAGTGGCCTCCAAGCAAGTTGCGGAAGTACAAACCAGGTGGCATTTAACAGATAACAGCATTTTTTATTGCATTTATAAACACTTCTTAAAAAACATGAGGACTTTATTTCTAAAACTCATTCCAGGACAGTAATACTGGATCACTTGATGCCACAAAATCTCATTTTGGAGAATCAATACTAGCAAAGATGCTTCCAGCTAATGCAAATCGAGTTGCTGGCTCATTTGCAGCTGATGAACTGCAAAAGCAGCACATATAACAGACAAATCCCTTGGTGTTCTCCCAACTCGATGATACTGGGAGTGTAGTAAGTCTCCCAGGATCAGGCTCGGAGCTCTGGAACGTAAGTTTCAGTGCTACGCCACTTGCAAAATGCAAAACTGAATTCAAAAGAAAGAACAGGTAGAAGAGCTCTGTGAATTACTAGTAGCTCTCTCCCCCGCTAGCGCAGAACTGTTCAGCATCATCCTGATACCCCTCTTTCCTGCAGTCTGTTTCTAGCAGTCCTACGTGTTAGGCCTTCCACCATAGCGTGGGGGTATCATTCTGCAATGGTTTCCATAAGTTCAGTTTAAGTTTCCTGCTATTTCCATCTGGTAGGTGTTCTGAATTATGAATCTCGGAGTATTCAAAAAAAATTCATTTCTCTCCTGGATGTTCATACCAACTCTGCACAATCGTTACTTAGCCAAGTATAGTGTATTGGCAAGTGTTCCTGAGATCCGCCCTCCTTACCCCTGTCCCTGCAATGAAGCACTGCAGATGCATACCTGATACTGGCTGTTCTTATGCTTCCAAATAATGAAAGCTCATCAGCACTACAGTCAGCGTTTAAAAAGTCAAAGCTTTCCAGTACTGTCTCCACCATTAAACTTTCCATAGATGAATGTTTGTGATGAAGTGTCTTTAGCTGTTGATGGAATGGAAGGAAAAATATTGTTATTTGTAGTTATCAAGCCATTTTGCATGAGTTCTTTGCTGTTTTTCAAATCACGCTTAATAACAAATCAGTTTGCTTTTCTGATTTCAGTCTTAACACATCAGGAAATTTAGCTCTTGGTACAGTGCTCTGATCCCAAAATAATGTTGCTAATTAAAGTTAAAATATGCTTCAATATTTTAATCTGTCTGTATTCCTCTTTGAATTTCCATGCCTGTTAAGGTTGGTATGAGAACTGATTTTTCTCCATCTTCTGCCATTAGTGCAATTTTCACTCATTCCTTGTTTCAAATATAGAAGTAGCAACCTTAGGTGTCTGTTGCATTCCAGTGTAGTATCCAAGAACTTTGATATCAGTAGTGGATTTCATGGGGCCACTAACTTTCTCCCCCTTGGAAAGGCTGCTTTGAGAGCACTTTGGGTTTTTTTTAAATTTCTATTTTTAAAGTGGTTGTACTGGAACAGGATGTCAGTGCAGTTTTGTTAACGTCATTTATTTTTCCAGACCTTAGATGACCTTACAGCATCTTATCTCCCAAGTCTGCACACCGGCCCCACGTACTACAAGGCTGCCAAATTTGCAGTATAACCCACTGCTTGCAGAAAGCTCTTCTCCAGGACCCTGCCTCTAAAGAGAAAAATGTTTTCAGCATCATATGACTCATCAGACAGACTGAACTGCCTGTAAAAGCTAGGTGATCCTGGAGAAAGATTAGGTTTGATGAACTGAAGCAGTCATCTCAAGGTATACTAAGTCTGAAAAACATCAAAAAAATTAGAAGCAAACCAAAATGCAGGGGCTCTGACATACAGTTCAGATTATGCGTAGCCCCGACTCGTTTCCACTTCGACTGCATGCAGTTTCTTAATTTCTTGACCTGCGCGCAGCATCTGAAGGCTGTATCTGAGAGATGCTGTGCAACACAGTGCTCCAGTGTAGCTAGCTCTCAAGGCTGCCTTTCCTGAGTAGTGCCTGACCTCTGGTGGCCAAACTTACTTTTTGGGAACATGCCATCGATATATTAAATCAAATCCACCACAGGGTCACGGAACTTCTACAGTTTTAGGAGTAACAGAGGAAGCTACACCATCTACCAAGAGTAAAACACTACCATACCTTTAATTTATCCCTCAGAGATGAAACCCGGTGTTCCAATTTCTTCAGTTGGGCTTGCCCCACATCATGTAATTCCAGCAAATTTAACACTTCTTGGAGAGTCTTATCAATTGACTTTGTACGTCCATCTGGTTTTAGGTCATTTGCAGCATTCAAGCTTTTCTGGCTAATGTCTTCTTGCTCTGTCAGACGGCGATTTCTGGTCTGGTTGAAAGAATCTCTACCACCTTTGTGGTGATTCAGAAAACTCAATGGTTTATTTGGAAATCCATCCACACACGGAGTCTTCTTCAGGATATCTAGAGTTGTGTGACTTGGAAGAGGATGCTGTTGCTCTTCTGCACAAGTCTCTTGAATAATCACCAATGGCAATGTCCTATGGTCTAGGGCTGGATTTGTATTTCTGGATTCTGTCCCTTTCTGATCCTCAGAGCTGAACGAGTCTGCCTCGCTTGTCTCTGCAGGGTTGAGAGGCTTGCTCCTCCCATGTACATCAAAATCACAGGCAGCCAGGTAGCTCAATATGCTGGGAGGCTGAGCTTCATCACTTACATCCCCTTGGTTCTGCCTTTGTTGCAAAACAGACTGCAGCAAACAGATTCGTAAGTGAGCACATATGCAGTTGAAAAGCATAAGATACCGCCTAAGACAGAGAACTATGGTTTCCTGTTCTTGGAAACATACGCACCCAAACTGATCAAAACCACAGGGCTCTTCTGCACAGAAGGAGCCAGGCCAGCATAGACTGGACAAAAGAGACTATTGAAACAAAATATTAAGAGCCTACTGGATGACCTAAGTGGAGCAGTAGTAACTGTGCTTTAGACCTTTCAGATGAAAGTTACCAACAGCTAAAAAACTGTTTCTGGAAAAAAAAACTCGCCAAGCAGCTTTTGTGCCACATCAGCTTAGGACAGGATGTGAATGTAGAGGTTAGAGGAAATGTTGATTTTGAAGAGTCCAACATACCCTGTACAAATACTTAAACCTTTCCAAAGAAGACTGCATATTCTGCTGCCTTGGTGAGGCAACACCAAACCTGACTTCGACTTTATGTTAGGGGAACACATATGATGTTATTAGTATTTCAGATGTATGGCAGAATTAACAGGTTCATATAAAACAACCATTAAAACAAAACCCTCCTGAACGAATGAGAAAGAGGACAGGGTTTTCTGTTCCCCTGGGATACGCTTGGCAAAAAGTGGGGTTGTGGAAGAGGAAGGCTTGTTTCACACAGCACCTCTAAGATGCCATTCTGCTCTGTGGCTACTGAGACAGACTGGTTCCCAGTTTGATTCCCACCGCAGACTATTAGAACAGATGCCCACACCCCTACCATTCTGGCTGCCAAGAGGAATATTTGGCAGGTTTGGTTTTTTTTTTCTTTTACAAAATCTAAAATGGAACTCAAACAAATAGGGGTTAAAAGAAAAATGTAACGAAGCCCCAAAATAAACTGCAAAGGCCCTGGAGTGCTACATTTTCACATTTCTGAGTGTGTTCTTCAATAGCCTAATCTAATCCCAAAATCAAGTCCTAGGTCTGTGCTTTGCATTTTGCTTTCCTCAGCATACTCACCAGGCAGTATTTCTCTCTGAAGCTGGGAGTATTTGGTGGGGTCCAGTTGTATAATGAGCTCTTCCTGCTACCCACAGAAAACTTGGCAGTGGTTCCAGGTGACAAAAACAGGTTCTCTGTGTCGAAGGGGCTGTAGCAGATGACACAAAGGCCTAAGTGTCAGTAAGACCAGAAAGCACAGAAATGTTTAGCAGCAGGAACAGCTCTTAGGATCTGAGCTGTGACATTAGTAAACAACACAGGGAATAAAAGGAAAGAGAGACTGCCTCTCTGACCAGTATCTTTGATTGCACCAGCAGAGAAAGGGGTAGGCAAAAAGGTTGTATATTTTACACAGAGTTCTCAACACCCTTTAGACAGAGACCTGTGCCAGTCTTTGGAAGAAGAGTCCAACAGGCCACAAGTCTGAAGCGCTCTCTGTCCTTCTGCAGTGTCCTACACAGACAGCAGTGCTGGCAATACAGTCCAGGCTGCTTGCTGACAGCCGCAGGACAGGTAGCGAGACATACACCGTACCAGATAGGAAGGAAATATAACACATGTAATAAAGGAAAACTGTCATTCATTTCCCTCCTGCAGAGCACACACCATCTGAAAAAGCCACTAAAAAACCTTAATTATCCTTTAAATATTAATAAACAACAACTTTGGCTGGCAGAAGCAGCTTGTGCAGTGGTATATGGCAAGTTACGTGGTTCATACGGTCACGGACGAGTCCGGTTATAGCCCCAGAGGATACTGGCTATGGTCTACAAGAGTCTGACAAGTCCCGCTCTAAAGACTTCCCAATTACCTACCACAGCACAGCCATTAATTTCCCAACTCCTTTGCAAAGCAGTCTAAGGAAACTTGGACGAACTGTCTCCCAAAACGCAACTCGGCTAACAAGAAGAGGGAAAACATATTTAAAGTTAAGTAAAGCAAGTTTGTTTTTTCTACATGTTACTTTTGTTCCCTACTGATATGCCTTGTGGCACCAAAAGAAAGTTTGCTTTTCCACTTAAGTACTGGCACTTTGAAAAAAGTGAATTGTTTATAATAAATCTAATCTCATAGATATGAATATAATGCCCAAACAGTAGGATAAAGTCAGCTGCATTTATCTGTACAATACAGAACCACTAGAAGTCTGAAAAGATCCAAACAATAATGAGGACTAATCAATTACAGGGAAATGAACGTCTGCTCTCTAGCAAAAGCTGAAAAGCAGAGCTCCAGCTCTCTCTGGCTTCTCACGGTGCACAGGGACAATTCTCAACAGCATCGTGCAGTGCAACACACCGCTGTCTTCCTCAGCATGGAGGAAACACTCTGTGAGCTCGCCTCATACAGGTTAATTGGCTAAATTAGCCAGTGTCACCCAGCTGGCGTTCATCAAACAGGCCAGTTCCATGGAGTCACATTAACAACCACCAGCATTGTCTCACTATGCAGAAAATAAATTGGGTTTCTGACAGTAAGAGCCTTTTACCCAAAGCCTGCTATGTTTACTGATGGAAGCAAATTACTCCCACCCATGGCATTTCTCAAGAAGAGTCACAGGGATCCATTCCTCAGATTTTTCATTTTTAGCTTTTCATATAGCAATGCAGTAATGCAAAATGGCACTTTGGAGGAAAGGGACAGGAATAACAAGCTGAATCTGTTTTGCCCCTTTGACAATTACTAAAACCCTCTAGCAAAACACAGCTATTCAGCTGCCCTCCCAACGAGCACACACTCCCCATTACTGCAAGATAACAAGTTGAGAGAGCAATGGGAAGGGTGAAGGAAAGAATGAAGTCTGCTCTAAAGCATCTGTTATCTCTCGGTTGTAAGCACTTTGGGCACGATCCATCATCTTGTTCCACATTTGTACAGCAAACAAAACATCGTACTGGGACAGATCTACAAAACCATCTCTCCCAGCATCTTGACATTGACAGAAGCCAGTAGAGGATACTCAGGGGAAAAGCATAGGAAATAAGTCAAATATAGTAGGCTTTCCCCAGACACATACTCAAATTTGAGGCAATCCATAGCTTAGATCTGTCATGCACCAAACTTTGCAAGCAGACTATTGCCTTTAATTGTCACATGCTTTTTCCTTAGTTTGTCTATTCACTTCCTGAAATCACTGACACACAAATCTCCGTGTAGGTCAAAAGTATGCAGAAATTTCATTATTTAACTTTAAATTGTGGAACAACTATTTTGACGGGGGGGGG